TCATGATATATAATGCATGAAGATGGAATTGTTAGAGATAAGCTGAATTATCTGTTGTAAAGGATCCTACAAATTAATGTAAGATGCAGTCACAGAAATAATTATATTATAAGTACGTCTGAACCAGTGACGACTCGACTCTACAACAGATTTTATCCATCGGATCACCAGCAGTGAAGGTGATACAAGGCTAAAAATACATTCTGTATATATAATTCGTTGTCACAATCATTGCTGGTGATCCGATGGATAAAATCACTGTCATTGGTTAAGACGTACTTATAATATAATTATTTCTGTGACTGCATTTTACATTAATTTGTAGGATCCTTTACAATAGATAATTCAGCTGATCTGTAACAATTCCATCTTCATGCCTTATATATTATGTATTGTGTTACGACGCTAGATAAAAACTGACGAGGAAACGTAACACCCGGCCACCGAAAGCTTTTTTTTTATAGAGCCTAGGTGGTCGAGTGGTCTAGCGCGTCGGGCATAGTGCAAGGCGATTTAGTGCCACGATATCTCAGTATCATGAGTTCGAATCCCAGCCAGGGAAGAACAAAAAATTTGCTTCCGCAAATTGACAGATCTAACATTGTTGGGCTGTTGTTTAGACGAATTATATATATATATATATACCTATAAATAGCAGCACGTGACATACAAATCTATGGGAGTGTGGATTAATCAGTACAGAGATTAATTCAATTACACAAATAAAATTATAGATTGCCTAACAATGTAATTTTAACACACTATTTAGTATGTGAATATAAGAATGTTTAAAATATTTACAAAATGATGAAAATAAACGCAATATTTCGCTAGACTAACTAGCTTTATCAAGCGTGCATCTATCCAGGTGAACTCGGATGTAGATGATAAGAACCTTTTGCAGCTCAATGTATATGTTGCACTTGAATTTAGCTGCCTTGAAAATAATACATAATTTGGATGAAGTATAAGATTTTTACAAAATTGGAAGTTGAAGTTAGCAACGTCCATTGGCCAATATTACAGGATAAAAAGGACGATGCTGTGTACTAAATTATTCTTTATCTTTCCTGTATCTTTTCTCATCTTTTTCGTTAAGACCATCAGGTTCTAATGTGTGGAGTTGGTGGATCCAAAAGTTTTCTCTTCTCCTTCTCGCCTTGGTGTCCCACTTGGTGTTGACTTCTATGATTTGGAAAGTAATATTATCAAAAGAATGTTTCGTTGAACGAAGATGTCTTGTGAGAGGACAGTTTTTGTTGGTTTTGTATATATATATATATATTGAACGTTGTTTTCAATTTAGACTTGTATAATAGGAAAATTAATAAAAGATAATAACAGTTTCAATTCATCACATTTACTAGTGCTTTCACTGCTTTTACAGATCTTCAGGTAATGTGACTTGTATACATAAGTGTTATACAAAACAATTGATTGACGTTAACAATAGTATGACGTTATAATTAACAAATACAAGGGAAACTACTAATGACATTTGAAAATTTGAGTAAAGTCTTTAAAATGTTATTTAAGTAAGAAATAAAATATTATTTATCATTTAATCCCGGGTTGAGAATGTTTATGAGTAATTCTTCTTTCTTCTTCCGGAGAAAATCATTTTGCCGATTCACCATATATAATGGAAATATCTTAAATCGTCCATTAGAACAACGATGAAAATGGTCGTTTGCCCGGATGATTGTTATATCTTCATGGTTGGTTTGCTGCCTATGAACAGTCATTCTAGTCCGCAGTTTTTTTTGTCTCTGCAATATAGAATTCCCCACAATTTGAACATATGAGAGAATAAATGACGTTTGAACTTTTACAAGACATGGTTTGTTTAACTGTGAAATGCTTTCCATTTTTGAAATAAATGGAACTTCCTGATATTTAATCTGGACATGTCATACATCGTTTATATGTACATTTTCTAACAATAGGCAAAGTTTCATAAAAGTCAAATTTTGAAAATGTTAAATATCGTTTTAGACTTTTTGACTGTCTTTTACTGTTGATTATCTTCTTTTTTTGTAAAACTTTGTCCATTGTTTCACTTTTGTGTAAATTACTTTCAATTTGTCACATGAAACCTAATATATCATAATCTCGTGGATTATACGTTGTTACAAATGGGATAATTTTATCTAAGGTGTTTGATGATTCTTCGGTTGGTTCGGATCGCCGTGATTGGTCCTCTTATCAGAGCCTTTTGGATTCCGTAATCTATAACTTGTTCCGGATATTGCTGCTTTTTTAAATACACTTTTAATTCTTCCAATCTTTTATTGCGTAATATTTCTACACTTGTAATGGTAATTATTCTTGACGCTAGATTAAAAGGTACTAAAACACACCCGTGAAATCGCGGGTATTTAGAGCTAAGTTGAAAATATGTAAATTTTTATAGGGTGAATTTTTGTAAAAGATTTTATGTCTGGAGAAATTCAGAAAAGGTATCAAACTGAGTCATAGGCACTTGGAGACAGAACAATTATTTTAAGCCCTCTCCCTTTTTTCCAAAGTCCGTTATTTTTTCGCTCTCTGTTAAATTGCATGATTTTTGCGTTTCTGTATACTATGAACATAGATCTACATATGATATAAATAATGTGTATTTGCTATTAACTATCAATTCCATCCACGGCGATCACTGCTATATTATATAGAGAGTCTCTATATATTATAGGATTATAACCATAGTATACATGCAGAATAACGCGAAAATAATTATCCTGTCCCGATTATGAAAATTATGTTTAAAGAGGGGAGTAATGGGAGGAATCTGCACGAAAGAACGCGAAATAAAAAGTGGCAAAACACGTTGCACGAAAAAAACCCTTTACCCTCTCTTTTAAAGTTTAAAATCGGAAGTCTTGGGTATGACTTTAAAGTCGGTCTGATGACGGAAACAATATCCGGACGCCTTTTTCTTCGTTTTTCTCCCAAAATAACCTAAACTGAATAATCATAAGAATGGATGACAAATGCGACTATGCATGGTACCTATAGGACACAGAGGCATGATGATTAATTTATTGGGGAAGGAAGAGAAGCGACACACAAAATGAGGTCTTCTCGTTTAATAGTTTAGATATTTAATTTTACATTTTTTGGATGGTTTGAGTCAAAATTTAGATATAGATGTGTATCGGTGTCTTTAGAAAAGATATATGTGACAATTTTATTGTCTTTCGTTATAAGCACTAAAATATCCCAAAACGGCATCTTGTTGACATTTCTGTTAATTGTGAAACGAATATATGGATTTAGAAAATTTAAAGCAGAGTGAAAATCTGTGACAGATATATTCGAATTCCAAATTATATAACAATCGTCAAGAAAACGTGTCCAGTTTTGACGTATGTAAATGGCAAATTCATTTCTGTATTTATGATCTAGTTTTTCGTATAATAATTGTTCCAAATATCCAAGAACCAAAGAAGCGTATGAAGGCGACATTTTAGTACTCATAGCTGTTCCTTTTTGCTGATTATAGTATGTTCCGTCAGAGTGAAAAATGTTTTTTCTAATAGACGTTTCTAGGATGCAAGGATAAATTCTTTTGTGAATCTGTTTTCAATGACGTTTTCTGTATTTCCCAGGCATTTTCTAAATTTAGGCAGTTTGTAAAATGCCTTAAAACTTTACGCATTTTCTTAAATGCCTGCACGATTCATAAAATAAACCTTCACAACTGGTTTTTGAAGAATAAATTAATTCTGCCGAACCATTAGTAATTTTCTATGCAAGATGTGTTTTTGTCCACTTTTTGTCATATGCATCTCAATGATATCCTTTTTCTACAAATTGCCTGAAACTGATCAGGCAATTTGTTCAATTTTCTTTCAAAATTTCAGTCATTTTACAAAATGACTAGGTATTTTTAGTCATTTTATATAATGCCTGTCACGGTTAGGCCTTTTATTTATATAAATTGCCTGAAAATTCAGCTATTTTACAAAATGCCTTAATTTCATTAGAAAATGCCCGTAACATATACAAGTCTAAATTGAAAACAACGTTCAAACCTATGATTGCGTTGGATAAAAACCGCATTTTTTTTTACGAATTCTTGCAAAACAAATTTCTTAGTAGAGGGGTCTAAATACAGCACAAACAACATTTTCCAAAAGACCAAAAAAGTGAAAAGTATATTTTAACAAATTACATTTGACTTACAGGTCGAACAACTGATGTTCTTAAACCCTGCCGACTGCCATTGACGAGTGCTAAATAAATTGATCACGAGATGTAACATGGATCATTATTATTAATTTAATACCAAACAGAAAACAGTAAACTTGCGGAAAAGATGGTATATCGCAAACATGAGGTGCAAATATTTGTACACCATATCCGGATTTCGACAATCAATGTTTCTTCAGTGATGTTAGGAATCGAAACGGTATTTGGAAGGCTATATAATTTACCTCAATTAGGATTGACTCTTGATTTTGAAGAGTCGAAATAGGATGAACGGAATATATAAACCAGAAGGCATATATAATACAAGCCCAAACGAAAAAATATAAATAAATCAAAATTGAAATCAACGTTAAAACCTATGATTGCGTTGGATAAAAACCGCAATTTTTATACGTGTGCACGCATAACAAATATTTTGGTAGAGGGGTCTAAATACAGCAAAAACAACATTTTCCAAAAAACCAAAAAAGTGAAAAAGTATATTTTAACAAAACACATTTGAATATCATATATATGTATATATACTGCACACTGTTTCCGTAACCAAAACGATTTTGTACCTACATTATTACAATAATTTTATAAATGCATTACATTGATTCCGGAAGGAGGAACTACTTATAATTTTTTTTATAAATCAGTTTATAAATACCATAAAGATCATAATCATAAGTCAAGATTTTATTTATTGGGAAAATTTAGATTGAAACACAAATTAGATAATATATATCCAGCATGAACAAATCGGATAAAAGATGTTTTACTTGGCTTGAACTGAATAACGCAACAACACTGCACAATTTGAACGACCAGTTCACAGAACGACATATAGGTGGAATGATTTTTACTTCGGTCTTAATGGTGCTTGGGATATTCGGAAATGTTGCTGTTATTTGGATATATTCTCAAAGATTCAAGGTATCAAATTACAGGACATACACTATATGGCTGGCCATCATGGACCTTGCAAACTCTTGTATCGGAATGCCTTTTCTTGTTTACTACATGAGCCATTACTTAACCTTTCCATCGTATGGACTATGTAAATTCGGTCGATTCTCGATGGTCTTTTCAACAAACTGCTCATCCTACATTTTGGTGGTAATAGCGTTTGATCGATACAGAAAAGTATGTAAGCCTTTAAAATGGCAACTTTCGTGCAAAAATACAAAAGTATGTTGTATAACTGCAACCCTTTTAGGACTTTTGACGTCTTGGCCATGTTTGGTTTTATATGGCATTTACACCGTTGATACGGTAATTCCTGATGTTAAAGGACTTCGTTGCTGGACTGATGATGACTACAAAAATACAGTTTACCCAAGAGTTTACTACATCGTGCTCTATATCTTCCATTTACTAGTTATACCTATCCTGTTCATCGTTTACGCACAGATCTTAAGGTTTTTACATACACATGGGAAAAGCGGAGTTCGCGTGAAAACCGAAAAAACTACAATAACCCTTTTAGCTGTTTCGGCAGCTTTCCTGTTGAGCGCTATTCCACATTACAGCCTTGTTGTTACAACTCGGATTCAAAAGGACTTTAATTGTAAAATGACATTTTCCGAAGGATTTGCCTATTACACATTTGTTTTCTCCATTTTGCTGAATAATGCAGTAAATCCTTTCATATACGGCTTCTTGGATACGAAATTTCAGCGTGAAATGAGAAGAATTTTGAAAACTTGTCGAGGAGATAAAGGAGATGCAACAAGCTGTAGCGTTTCCCAGTCAATGGAATTGGATTCAAGGGATCCTAGGCAGATTTACGTTATTCCAAGTATGCAGTCTTCAGAAACGAATCTCAATGATTAATCTCTATATGACGAATACCGGTTTTTGCCAAGCAAATATATGCTTGTACTTTTATCCCATTATTACCAATTGTTTGTATTACCAATGCCGAATTAGTTTTGCAATGCTTTATATTTAATTTGATAATTGTAATTTGTCTTTGTAGATAAGTCTAGACGTTTGTTTTATCAGTATGAATATTGATAATAATAAAATATTGCATTTTTTATGAATTTATCCATATGTTGATAATACCGATGAAATACAGTTTCTTTCTGGACAAATCATTAAAGTAAATTTTGGTAAATGTGGAAGCAGTTTCGGAAAATTATTTGAAAAGGACATTATCAATCACTTAAAGTATTCTTTTTGAAATAAAGCTATGCTTTGTTTTTCAAATACAAATAGATTAATGATTATTACATAGGTTCCTTGATGCTTACGTTTACAAAAACACGAATAATTTGTTATATTGTGTCAAAACTCATTGCTACATCAATGTATAGTGTTGGACTTATGGATATATTTATGTGTACAATTGTTGTAACTACTTTAATTTTTATTATACTGACTTTTTAACATTCAAATTCTGGTAACAATCGGGTTTTCACCCTTGAAGTGAAAAAAAAAAATCAATGTAAAGTGCCCTACCACTTTACAAAGAATGACAGTTGACTTACGCTTGTTTTGCTAATAAAGTAGCACAGTAAATAAAGATATTAAGAGCTTATTTCCTTTTTTGAAATAATGACATAGAAATTTTGTTCAAATATATGCATTTCCTTTTGCTTATTCATAGAACAAATACGTGACGGAAATGACAAAAGAGTGTAACATGTATCAACACAAATAATTTGTAAATATTTTTAAACTCCTATCGACTTTAAAACTATAAGTATGATAAGTAGTTGTTTAAAACTAACAAAGTATAAAACAATTCTGATTGATTGATTTTATTTTGTTTAACGTTCAATGAAAAATCAGAACGAGAACAATTTAACAATAACTCCACTAGATAATTGCAATAGGTGTATTACTCCGACCCGATCCAAATATAACTAAGAATAAATATATTAAGACAGTTAAAATAATGGGCGATCTCATTGACAAATACATTTTTTCTTATAACTAAAATTGTATCAATCATAAAACTGAAGCTTAAAACATATCCACGATAGTAAAACTTTATTAACATTTGATAAGCAAGAACAGTTCTAAATACTAAAATATTGAGATTCAAAGTTTGACAGCGGCCATATATAGTTTCTATTTATTTATTGTAGTTATGAATTATGCTCCGTTTTCAGACAACACTAAATGTTTTCAAATCATATATGAAATATTCATTTCCAAACGGCACCTCGGATCCAGTGTTATAATGGTGCAAGCAGAATTTGATCGTTTATGAATTATGTTGATTATACCGATGAAATACAGTTTGAATAGATAAATCATAAAAGTGATTTGATCTTTATAAAAGGATATGCATACCTGCACATAACACCTCGGATTTGAATTTCTTTTTTTGAAAGGATCTGGATTATACGCGAACCTCGGCTATCTTGCCACGAGCAAGATTCGAACTCACAATCTCAGGAATGACAGGCTTCTGATCACTATAGATGAACTTATCAGACCGCAAGACCTCCGGAACTCCAGACCAAGATACATCAACAGTTAATCTGAATCAAACAGTATCGACAGATGGGTTTTCAAGAGCATTTCAATCTTTTCACAAATTCTCAATATAAAAGCTCAATAATGTCATTGTCGTTCCAATAAAATAATTCCGTATTTTTTAATTGGAAACACATTTTTTTAAATGCCTAATGATGGTTGACTATTGGTAGATTTTGGCAAATTTTAATGAGGTATTGGGACAATGAATTGAAAAGGACATCTAAACAACAACCAAACTTGTATTTGAAATAAAGCTACGCCTTTTTTTTTTAAATACAAATCAATTCGTGTTGGTCGCAGATTTTTTTCGCGAAACATTTTACAAAAATATGTAAAATTTGCGAAAATTTGCGAAAATAGTCTTTGCCATCGATGTAATATGCTGAATAATAATTTTGAGTTTTTTGGATATGTCTTAAATATAGTACAATATTTAATTTGTATTATAAAGACATGTTTATATTCAAATTTCAGTAGTCGTTACTTATATTCGAATTTTGACCTTGTAAGTGAACGAAATGCAGGGTAAAGTATCATTTCTCTTTAATTGTAAAGTAAGGCGGTTAACGTACGCTCATTCTGCTAATAAAAAAGCTGCACTATGAATACAGGTTTTATGTAAAATTGGGAATAGAAACGGGGAATGTGTAAAAGAGAAAACAACCCGACCAACGAGCAGACAACAGCACAAGGCCTCCAATGGGTATTCAACACAGCTAGAAAATTCCGCACCCGGAGGCAGGCTTCAGCTGGATCCCTAAACAAAAATGTGTACTAGTTCAGTGAAATGGACGTCAAACTAAACCCCGAAACATAGATGAACCAAAATTTAAAAAAAAACATACAATACTAACAAAGGCCAGATGTTCCTGACTTGGGACAGGCTAAAAAATGCGGCGGTGTTAAACATGTTTTGTGAGCTCTGAAACCTCCCCCAATACCTCTAGGCAATGTAGAATAAACAAACACATATACGCACAATAAAACTCAGCTTGAAGGAAGTCCGAGTCCGATGTTAGAGTAGATAACAGAAGAAACTAAGCAAAATGACAATGATAACATAAATTAACAAAGGGCTACTAGCAGTTACTGACATGCCAGCTCCAGACCTTAATTAAAACTGATTGAAAGATTATGTCTTCATCATATGAAAACAAAGCACCATCCCTCCCGTTAGGGGTTTAGTATCATACCATCATAAAATATATGAGGAGAACATAACCCGTAACATGCCAACAACCGGTTTTAGAATAAATTAAAGTGTATATTTCCTTTTTTATTTTTTTAAATAATTGCATTAATTTTATAAAATGTATTTAAACAGCAAATCTGAGGACTAACCTTGTTTGTATTGGATACCTAAGATTCACAAAAAATCCGTAGGAACAACGGTACATTGCCGGCTCATCTGCATGTTCTACAAAGGAATTGTACATTAGATTGACAAACATTATGTCTGCAGTGAAAGACGGTCTTCAGAAATGCTGTGAAACTGTTTCCTCGCGTAGTGGTATTAACCATATGTGGAATCTTAAAACCTCTAAAGAACTTCTGGATAATTTTAAATCTCGATCTTTCTTTGAAATAAATTCTATCAAAACCTTTTTTCAATCCTTTATACCACCAAAAATCATCAATTGAAAAACTGTTAGGTGTTAGAATTGACTCTTATCTGTCCTGGACAGGCCATGTTAATTACTTATGTTCTTTAATATCATCTAAACTTCATTAACTCTCTAAAATCAAGAAATTTCTACATATTGATTCAAGAAAATTGTTTTATAATGGCTATATTCTCCCTCTGATAGATTACTGTTGTATTATTTGGAGTGGTTGTGCTAAAAATGAGCTAGTCAGAATAATAAAATTGCAGAAAAGGGCTGCAAGACTTATTTCAGATGCTGATCCACTTTCATCATCAGCTCCACTGTTTAAACAGCTTGGGTGGATGACAGTAGAGAACAGAATCTCATACCACAAATCTGTTTTGATGCAGAAATGCCTTAAGTACGAAGCCCCTGTATATCTCACTGAAAAATTTAAAGAAATGCCAGAAATAAACCAATATTGTTTGAGGAATGTGTCTTGCAAACATTTACAAGTTCCAAAAACCAAAACAGAGCTGTATAAGAAATCTTTTATATATTCAGGATCTATTCTATGGAATAATTTACCAACATCCCTGAAAAAATCAACCTCAAGTACAAGCTCATTGAAAAAAGATTTAAAAAATTACTTGTTGGAACATTAAGAAGCTGTGTAATTTTATATGAATAATAATTTTCACAAACTTACTCAAACTTAAGATATTGTTGAGGTAATTTTAATGATGTCAGTACTATATGAATTTGTAATTTCTACCTGTTTTGAAAATTGTATATTTCATTTTTTCATATATGTGTGTTTGTTTTGATATTTTGTAATTGTTTGTTTTATTTCATTGTATTTCATGAGGGCCTCAGGGAAGATTACTTTTTTAGCTAACTGTGTAACCCTCTTTAAATAAAGAATTATTATTATTATTTTTATTATTCCTCAAGTGAAATTGAAAAATCGTCTAGAAGGAACAATCCACAAAGCTTTTCAAAATAAAAACTGTATCATACGCTATAAATTTATTGCTCTGAATTTGGAGGTAGACCTTTTCAACAAATTATCGGCATTCCTATGGGAAAGAACTGTGCGTTTCTCCTTGCCGACCTCTTTCTAATTTTATATGAGTCGGAGTTTCTTCTGACACTTAATAAAAAAAGAAGAGCAAAGAAGCAAGATCGTGTAATTTCACATTCGGTCATATTGGTGATTGTCTTTCCATTAACAATCCAAACTTTTCTGATTTGGATCTATTTATACATCCTCCAAAACTAGAAATTAAAGAAACAACAGACACGGCTTCCTCCGCCTCATTTTTAGACTTATACCTCGACTTTGACATAAGCGGTCATATCAGTACCAGAATATATGACAGACGAGACGATTTTAATTTTGAAATTATAGATTTCCCCAACCTTAACAGCAATATACCAACTTCACCAGCATTTCGGATATACATTTCCCATCTCATTCGGTATTCAGGAGCTTGTAGCTGCTACTCATACTTTATAAAACGTCAAAAGTGTCTGAGCAGAAAGTTGATGAACCAGGGTTATGTCGAAGAACGTCTAAAATAGTTCAACGGAAGATATCTCTACCCTGTTGATAGATATCAAACGAATGGAAAACAACTGTCTTATTCCTGATTTTGTGCATAAGCATGAATTCGGCCGAAAGGAAAAATTCCAAAGAAAGATAATAAATTGATCATTTTAAAGCATTAATTTGCATCTTTGCCCCCGGTGACAGTTTTTTGGGAAAAAATCCCCAAAATGGGCAATAATTTCATCGAAAAGAGA